TCTCTAATTTTTGTTTGTTTGTTTAGGAAGAATCTGGCTTTCTAAGCCTGAAGCAGTTTTTCCTTAAATATACAGATGCTTGGAATGTTACATTCAGTAGCCTATTACAGGGGTCCTCAACCCCCGGTCCATGGATTGGTACCGGACTGCGGCATGCCAGCAACTGGGCCGCACAAACATACATAGGGATGCAGGCAGCACACAAAACCATGCACTCTCCGGTCCGTGGAAAAATCTTTCTCCATGGAAAAATCAGTCCCTGATGCCCAAAAGGTTGGGGACCTCTGGCCTATTAGTATACTACTAAGCACCACTTTTGCTAAATGTAAGTCTATCATGTGTTTTCAATGTAGTCATCCAGGTGGCTTTTTATGCGCATGGCAGCTCCTGGACCAAGGGTTCAAACACAGTACTTGCAAAACATAGATTTTTGCGGGTTTCTTCATCATAACAGAGAGAAAAAGAACATATTTTTTTAAGGAGAATGTAAATTATGTCACAAAGACCCAACAAAAAGAATATTAGATTGTTTGCCACCATGTTATATTGTATATACATTATAATATGCTTGGTGTAGTAGTTCAGGTGCTGACCTAGAAACCAGGAGACTATGAATTGTAGTCCCGCCTTAGGCATGAAAGCTGGCTGGTTGACTTTGGGCCAGTGACACACTCTAATCCCAACCCATCTCACAGGGTAGCTGTTATGGGGAAAAGAGGAGGAGGAAAGAGTATTATGAGGGCTCACTGCCTTCAGTTACTTATAAATTTTCTCCGGTACCCAATTTCTCTTCATCCAGAAAAGCTTCCCACATCCCATCCCTGGTGGTCCAGGTAATGCAAATGTGATGCCACTTTTCATCCCTGATAAAGAGGGAAGCTGGGTGACCTTGTCATTGATTAGGAGTTCAATGGGGTTGTTCCCCCACTCGATCAATACTACTTCATTGGTTTGTCCTGGGACAGCGTAAGAGAAGGGTGTCCCAATTCCAGGGGATGCACCAGATTTCAGCCATAAACAGACAGTGAAGGCATAGAGCTCAGGAAGCATCTTCTTGATCTTCCTGTACAAGTAGCTGGTATGAAAAGGCAGAGAGATTTTAAATTCATCCGGTGCTTTAAAGGGCACAAATTACTTATAAAGTATTACAGGTGGGATAAAAATCTAATAAATAAATAATAACTGTTTTGCAGATACAATATAAGGACTATCTTATATTTATTCTGATTGTTTTCCTTTTTTTAATTTTAATTTTTCCTTTTTTTTCTTTACAAACATAATATACGTTTTTTTTCTTTTCCCTTAACAATACTATGTCTTATATCTCTTAAGTTTATTTACATTTATTTACATTACTTCTCGTACATTTTTATTCCCCAATTCTAGCCAGTTATAATACATGTCCCATACCTCATAAAATTCTGTAGCTTCTTTGTCTTTTATTTCTAAGGAAAGTTTGTTCATCTCAGCACAGTCTAATATCTTACATACAATCATTGCATTTGTTGGTATGTTCTCCCTTTTCCAACATTGTGCATATGCAATGCGTAGTATGTACAATGATGTATTGGAGTCGTTTCTCTATTTTTGGGTTAATTATGCCTAATAAAAATATTTCAGGTTTGAGTTCAATTTGTTGTTTTTTTATTTCCTGTAGCCATCTTCTTACCTGCTCCCAATAGGTCTTTGCTTTGGGGCATTGCCACCACATATGATAAAATGTTCCTTCTTTGTTTTTACATTTCCAACAATCCGGATTCATATTTTTGTATATTTTAGCCAATCTCACCAGTGCTAAATGCCATCTGTAGAACATTTTGTATTGGTTTTCCTTGTATGCAGTTGACAACGTTAATTTGTACTTTATGTTCCATGTTCTTTCCCATTCCTCTAATCCTATATTTCTACCTATGTTTTAGGTCCATGCTATCATCGGGCCCTTTACTATTTCTTCTTTTAATTCAATTTCTAATAAGAGTTTATAAGTTTTTGTTAAGAATTTTTCTCCCTTATTTGTCAATATTTTATCCAATTGTTGTAATGTCCAACATATCCCATACTCTTCCATATCATTATATTTTGATTTTATCTGTATATATGGCCACCAATCAATAATTATTCCCTGTTCTTTTAATTCCTCTCTTGATCTTAGCTTCCCTTGGTTGTCTAATAATTCTTTGTACCTTATCATCTTTGCTTTATCTAATGTGTTTGGATGGATCATCGCCTCCATTGGTGAGATCCAAATTGGAATTTTCATATAATTTTTTTTTTACTTTTTCCCATATCCAAATTAATGCATCCCTTATCTGATGTCGGAGGAAATATGTTTGAGTTTTCTTATCTTTTCCCCATAGAAAAGCATGCCATCCAGCCTGTAAATCATGACCTTCAATTGTTAAGATCCTTTTGTTTTCTAGGTTTATCCAGTCATTGATCCAAAGCAATCCCGCTGCTGTTTTCCAATTGCGAGCTACCTCATAAGGTTATCATGAGGCTAAGATATAAAGTAAGATCACAAAAGAAAAATACAGTTAAGGTTGCCAGCTGATGAGAAGAATATTTGGTTGTTTGTTTAAACAAAGATTTAAAAAATAGTAGGCTATGGATCAACTGTGAGAAAGATGAAGTAGCTCTGCTCAGCTAAGTATTTTGACCTACAGGTGGTTGAGAGACATTCCCCCCACACATCTACCACCTACCGTAATTGCTGTAAATTCTTCAAATCTCAGCCTTCTTTGAGATGGCAACCTCTATGGAAAAAGCAGGGTAAAGCAAGAGCCAACACCGCCCTGTAGAGATGATGCTCACTTTGCTGAGCAGATTAGATTGAGCAAAATAATAAACAGAGGATTTGAAACTTAAGACTAGTCTTTAGCAGAAAAATGGAAAAGTTGTCAACCAATCCTTATGCCACCTAACTAGGGTCTCTTACTTATGGGAGAATGTGATGGGAGAAGGAGACAAATATAAGTTTCAAACTTTAGGTTTTGTCTATCTTGAATCATAACCATTTGCAGTTCCTGGTGTTCTTTGTATTAGAGGGCCTTTATACTACCTGAAATAAAAGCTAGTTGATTTAAGAATTATAGCCCTGAATCCCTGCCAGAAAGCCTTCTAGTTTAAGTATGAGTCTGGAAGAAGTCTGATGCTTTCCTGTTCCTCCCTTTTCCTTATTAGGGGAAAATGCTCAATGTAAACAAAGCAAAACATCAGCTGGAAACCCTCGTGCTTTCTCCGGTTCCAGAGGTAGTGAGGCTCACAATTCTTGCTGATTTACCTGCCATTCATCTTGTATAACAGAAGGAAAGCGCTTGAAGCTTTCCCTAGGTTGCCTTATGTCCTCACATATGGCAGATTGGGTGAGAGTAGAAAGAGACACCAGTATATCCTGGAATCATTTGGCCCCCAGGCTGGATACGGGGTTGTGTGCAGCCTATAATATAGCCTATTGGACAAATCCAGTTTGCAATACATGCTGCAACCTGAAAATTGCTGCCATATAAAAATGGAATGCACAAATAATATTATTTATCGGAGCTGAACCAAATACTCTGTTCTTCTTAAGGGGCTTCAGAAAAAAGAAACAGAAGAATGCAGAGAAGAAATGATGTTAATCTGTTGTAGGAATGTCCAGGGCATATAGCTTAATTTGAATTATCCATAAGTTTTTAATTGAAAAACAGAAGTATTTTTGTGAAATGTTCACTAATTAAAATGTATCATTCCACCCCAAGGATAAATGTGCATTGTAGAAAACCACATGACTGTCTTTATTTTGTATTTAAATTTTCAAATATATTTTCTGTGCACAGAATAACATTATACATTGAAAATTATACACCATAAAGCCAAATCTATTGTAAAAATGCAACCCTATGCAGAAAAAATACTTTGCTCAAACATTAATCTGAGTTTATGATAGTCAAAGAATGATATATATATAGTATCCATCTGAAATCTACTGTTCTAAGATTTGTTCATCTTTTTAAAGCTTATTTAAAATATCATCCTTATTAGCTTCCTAGTATTATTATCTGTTTTTTTCTCCAAACATCAAAGCCATTATGCAACTAAAACAATCAAAAGGAAAGTTAACAGGGGAGTTATTTATCATCCATTTTAAATGGCATTATTGTGGTCAATTCTAAAATGTCTTTCTTGATTTTATTCTAACAGTAAAGAATCCCTGATATACATTCTCTATTTTTATCAAAACATTAAGAGTTAAATCATACAAATGTTAAAGTGGTTTCATTTTACTCTTCCCTTTTTCTTGGTCTAAATACCTCCATAGCTAAATTAATCTCTACCATTAGGGAGTATGAGGCAACTGCCACAGGCAGCTGATGCTGTAGTTCATGTTACAGTACCTCCTTCCTAGTCATTTCCCCTGAACTTCTTACGCATTCTGGAAAACAAAGCTGATTATGCTACATTACCTGTCTTACATCCTTTAAACTAGGGGTGGATTATAGGGCTGCATCTGACTTAAAATAACCTCCTATATGGCTCAAAAAACTTTTCCACACCAGGTGGGGAAATGTTTTTGTGTTTTGTAACCCCCAGGGTTACTACAAATTCAGGTCTAATATTGGTATCTTCATTATTTACATTGAGATTATGGACTCCTTGTGCACAATATTAGGTAATGATATTTGTTAGCTTCTCCATAAGGACGAAGTCCATTGCTATATTAAATCACGTTTCATAGTTATGAGACATTTATTGTATTGTCTCTATGTATGTTTGCACACAAACCCCTCCCGTCCACGGAGTTTCCAAGTCTGATTCTTTAAATTGACTTTGGTTATTGTATTATTTGTTTTTAATCGGTGAAAGTCGTCTTTAAGGTATCATGTGCCTCCAAGTGAGGGGCAGTTAATCTGATCGTCTGCAAACACATACAGACACACGGAGGGGGGGGGGACGGAGAGGGAAAGAAAGCGGACCCGCAGTTTTCTCTGTAGGTGGGGGCATTAAGTAGATACATTGGTTCCTCGTGCGTATTATGCACGGATCCTTGCCGAATTCGTCTGAATGCCCTAATCAACTCGCATACAAACCTCCTCGCAAGCCCCGTGTTCACACTTTTTTTCCCCCTCTGGGGACAGAGGGCGTGATTAGAGGAGCCACTCAGCCGCCCCCCGCGTTCTTTGTCCTCGCTTTTTCGCGAGACCGCACTTCGCTTCCTTCAGAAGTGCGCCCACTTTCGCTCCCGCCTCCTCCTTCGGGCCAGGTCTTGCATAACGCCATGGCAACGTTGGAACTCGGCGAGACCCACCACCGCTCCCACCAGACAAAACACATTTGAGAAACGTGAGGTGGTGGCGATCACGTGGAGCCGGCGGCCAATGAGGAAAAGAGGGTGGGGCTCGGCTGTCCAGTCATTCAGCAGAGCTGCGTGGAGTCACAGGGCGATCGGCGAGGAGAGAGCGGTGTTTGGGTTGCGGCGAAGCAAGGCAGCGCTTGTGGAAAAAGCCTGGAGGAGGAAGCCTCGCGACCGAGCCGCTCCCTCTCGTTGCCGCCGCGTTTACGGAACGTTGCGGGGCTCCTTCCCCAGCTGTGAGTGGGCGTGTGAGGGCGAGGAAAAAGTGGGTGATGTGTTTCCCGCTGGCGGCCATCTCCACCAAAGCCGCTGCTTCCACCGCCGGAGCCGCTGCCTCCACCGGGTCTTAAGAGACGCGCTCAAGCGGAGGCTTCCGCCCTCAGCTCCTCTCGCCTCGCCCCCGGGTTGACCGGAGAACGGGCCCTTAGTAGCGGGATCTATCCCGACATGAGCCGCGAAGCCAACTTTACTCATTACTGAACAGCCGGCGACGTTCTTCCACCTGGCGAGCCGACCCACTGGACAACTTGGGCCGCCTATCAGAGATGGGAGTGAACTCGGTGCACTGGTTCCGCAAGGGGCTTCGACTCCACGACAACCCAGCGCTGAGGGAAGTCATCGAGGGGGCCGATACGGTGCGCTGCGTGTACATCCTGGACCCCTGGTTTGCGGGCTCCTCCAACGTGGGAATCAACCGGTGGAGGTGAGTGGGCACGAGGCGGAGGTGGAGGCGGCGGCTCCTTGGACGGAGCTGTTCGCTTCTCAGCCCCGTTCGAAGACAATGCGCATGCGCACCGGCGTCTGATTATACAACCTCGGGTCTCCGCGGCCTCCTTAGGAATCGTTTCTGACGTCTCAGCATTCGGTAGGAAGGGAGGGGGATGGTGACTCTCGCCCGCCTGCTTTCGGTGAAACGGGCTTGATGTGCGCTTATTTTCCTCTGAATTCAGCCCTTGTCTCCTAGGAAAGGCATAAAAGGTTACATAAACGGCAAAAGGCTAACCTGGCTTTTCCTTAGGGCATGAGAAAATGCTTAGAAGATTAATATCAAATCATTGGTATTAGGTAGCTTGTGTTGGAGATGTTAAAAGGTTTTGCATGAGTCAAATGGCTCTGTAATCCTTTCGCTGATCCAAAATGGATGTTTATAATCACATTTCTTGAGACAATAGACCTGGGTAACATTTACCAAGCCCCCATGAGATGAAAATTGTATAAGAGATGATTTTGTGTCTTGATTTCCACATTATTTTCCTTGCACTGTAAAAGACTGTAAAAGACACTTAGTTGTAGCTTAGTTTTATATATATATGGTCACACTGCTGTCTCTACTTTTGCTTGCCATGCCCTGTAATGTTCCTAATCGGATCTTTTCCAGTCCCTTCTCAATGCTGACAGCAAAGAAACAATGACATATGCAATCCCTCCTGTTGCTATGCACACACATGCATTTCAATTGGATGTTTCATAACGAGTATTGAGTTTGGTGTGTGTGTGTGTGTGTGTGTGGCCAGAATGGGTGCAGTCTACTGGGTGGGCGTGGATGAAGTGGGTGTGGCCTATTCAGTGGGCATGGCCAGCTCTACATCGTTCAAGCCGGATATGTGAAGTAGACAAAGGCCATTTGCTGGCCACTTCCAGGTGATGGTACATTTCTTCATTCCTCACAAAGGGTGACACCTCCCCAGCATGCACCCAGGGGGTGGGATTGACACAGCAAGGGCTGGTTCCTCACTGTTTCCAGACAGCCTTGTGGAGCTAAGACTGAATGTGTTTCAACGTAGATGGCCACCACAAAATTGTACATTGGCTCCCGGGTGGCCTGGGCCAGGGCCAAGGCAGCAGAGGGCCGTTCCCTCACTGTTTCCAGGATGGCTTTGCGGGCCACATGAAACCACTTTGTGCCCCCCCGCCCTCCCCCCCCCGCCTTGTGTTTGACATGTCTGGAGTAGAACATTGGATGCACCTGTTTGAATGTAGTGTTTAATAAGAAGTGTATTGAGTAAAAATACAAGCTTTTGTGAGCTGCATCAAAATTAGATCAAGTAAAAGCTTCAAACACCCATGCCTTTCAACATTTGTTAGTTGGAAATAATGCTGCTAAACTTATTTTTAGCTGTTTGGTTCTTTTTTTACTTTAAAAAAGATGTAAAATTATTAAATACATGCTGTCTTATAGATTTAATTTAGCACAGTGAGTGTAAACATACTCCTTTAGGGGTATGGAAAGCAGATATTCAATAATAGCAGAAGTATAGCTATTGTTCATCAGTAGAGCATCTCCTTTGCATGTACCAGTCAGAAGTTTAATCCTTGCCAATCTCAGGAAAGTGTTATCTTAGAAAGCCATTCTTAGTATAGACAATTTTGCCAATGATGCAAGGCATCTTTTGAGGTGTAACAGATCAGGGTATAACTGGTAGTTTCAGTAGAATATTTTAAAACATTCTAAAGCAAGGATCAAGGTGTGAATCATTTTCAGATATTTATTAAGGCTCAGTGGTTTTAGGATACCATATTTTTAAAGTCTGAAAACATTTTTCTTTTTGTTTTGACCTAACAATGATCAGTATTATACGACTTGTATAATGGCAACAGCAGTAGTAGCCAGTAGGCAAGAAAAATAAAAAACAAGGCTATTTTCCATAACATGAATTGTGCAGCTCTCTTGTGTGACTAACAGTAATTACCTGGTTGTAGTATCCAGAATTTTTTTCAGGCCTTTATAAATCCAGTGTTAAGCACTTAAATGTCATTTATTTGAAATCCTCCAAGGATTCTGAATTTTTCAGAAACAAGTATGCATGCTAATAAATTTTGCTTGATTGCTGTAATTTGATTCTCAGCAGTTGATTCATTCATTCATCATTAGCATTATATGCAGATAGTGTTCCTGGTTTGTAAGTTACAATAAATTGTGGATGGAATTGCCTGAGACCTCTCACTATTAGGGAGACCAAGAGAAAGAGATTGAACACATGTCAATGGGTTGCTTTCATAGGTCATTCAGTAGTCATTCACAGGTTAGTAAGAATTGTATCTTATTTTCCCTCTGCACACTGCTATTGGCAATTGAAAGTATCCTGGAGAAAGAGGTAAATGAAGAGGAAATGCTTAGAATGTATAGAAAAATTCTGGGCATGATGAAGTGAGGTATATTGGAAACATTGTGATGTAAGATGTGTGCAAAATTCATATTAAACTTATGAATGAATTTCATTATAGCTGACCTACTGACATGCTGTGCATAATTGCTAGCCTGCTGTGACATATAGCAATCATTGACCTCTTTTCATTATTTTCCTCTAGCATAGGTGATGGTATTCATATTGTGAAAGCCTAGTACAGTATTCAGATATTTTACTGTGTAACTCATTTTTTTCTGAATGGGCCTTATTTCTTCATTAACAAATTAAGAAAAATAAATTTGCAACAAGTTACCTTCTTGAAGTCTGTGTTATATGTTCTGTTAAGGTTTATGTGACTCTTATGTAAAATGTCTTTTATTTACTAAATAGTCTATAAACTATTGTTCTATTTTGATATAAAAATAGTTCTTCAGGTACAATAAAATATCAATTATTTTATCTTATTGATATAAAACAGAAATTATCAGTCCTACATATTTCAGAATTTGAAGAAATTGTTGCCATGTGAGTCTGGCTAGTCACAAAAACAAATTGCCCAGGAAATTAAATACAAGGCAGAAATTTCATGTAAGGAAAACTACCTATTTTTTGTAAATACTGGTTTTTCAAAAGTAAGAATAATTATATTTTAGGAATTGAACTAAAATTTTTGTCCCAAGTAGTGAGAAGATGTGTTGTTATTTTTAAGTGATCTTGGAATAGTTGTGTGAGGTTCTGAAATTGCAATTTGTATGATTCACCAGGAAAATGTAAGTGGAAAATTGCAATCAGTTTTCACAATTGTGATAGAATCCTCCAGGGGGCACAAAATTACAGTTCAACACTGCAGGTAGGTTGTGCCCTCAGTTTGCCTAGAAGTGATAAATAAATATCTGTTTTCATCTCTATATTGTGCTCTTTTTTCTTAAGATTTATTGCATATTCATATATATATTTGGTATAGAATTAGGAATATCCTCACAACTAGCAGTTTATTGAGAGTTATTCCTGTAAAATGTTAAATGTCCAATAAAAGAGCTTCTTCCTCAACACTTAATGGTTTTAGAAAAGCGTAAAATGAAATCAAGGTGAGGTACCCTTATGGAGAAATACACTCATGAATATTTTATTTATACTTTATTTCAAGGGAGCCCAACTCTAAAATAACTTGAGTAGCTGACTATTTTAAAACAATATATAATGTAAAAGAAAACAAACTCATACAAATAAAAATCAAAAGATCACAATGAGCTCTAAAATTCTAATGCCAGGGACAAAGCCAGATCTGCAGAAATTTAGGGAACTTTTGCTTTTTCCTAGTGTGTCACGTTATTGGTTTGAAACAAACCAATAATTGAATGATTGCAGATGTGCTATGTGTTGAAGGTTAGAAGAAGTTGATTGAGGACTTCCAGTGTGCTGATGCAGCCACCACGGACATTTAGAAGGTGAGCTCCGTCTTCCACGTTCGATTTCGCATCGCTGGAGGACCCTGGAAAGGGTCGAAAGTCACCCTGTAGGGGCGACAAGTAAGGAGGGGATCCCCGCTTGATCGCAGGAGGGCGGTAGCCCTTCTGCTCAATCCGAGGCAGCCCTCCAAACCAGCGGAGGAAAGACTGCCCATAGAATTATGTCCCGTCACTAGGCTGCAGACAGCCGAAGTCAAATTTACCACCAGGCACCTACAAAGCAGCACGGATGAGACTGAGTGAGATCTGAACCTCTCTTCAATCATAATTATTTTTTCCACCTATATAAGCTGCCCAAAGTATTTTCCCCCCTGTGGAGAGAGGGAAGTGAAATTCTATCCCACCCTCCAAAAGCAGTGGTGACTGACTATCCAGGGGTGTTTAAAACACTGAAAAAATAACTTGATTCTAACTGGATTTTTATCTTTTTTAAATTTGAGGACTAAAAGATTTCTTATTCTTATTGAAGATTTGGATTTTTTACTTACAAAAAAGTAAAATTGAGAAAGGATTATAACAATTTTGGACGTAAAAAAAACCAAAAATCTTAAATGGTGTGGGCAACATCTGCCTTGAACTCTGTGATTGAAAGTCAGAATGCAAATCATATACTGGTAAATTGCCTGAAATGGTATAGGGTTTCCTGCCTGAGCAGGGGGTTGGACTAGATGACCTCCAAGGTCCCTTCCAACATCATCATCATCATTATTATCTTGTGGCTAAAACTGATATTACAGCTTGTTATGGTCTAAAAGAAACTTGGCTTGAAGCCCAAACTATAGATAAGACTTTTGCAACCTTGGCAGATATCAGCTGTGAGAAGCCCAGCTGTGTTTTATACTCAGGGACAAAATTATTTTCAGCTTTTAATTTAACACACCACTAAGAGAACATGGAAGAAGATCAGGAACAGATTCTTTTTATATTGAAAGCAATTTATGAAACTGTTCTTATAGCCACTGATGAAATAAGAAGCTGCAGAAAAGAACAAGATATCAGCCTAGATCAGTGGTTCTCAACCTGTGGGTCGGCACCCCATTTGGGGTCGAACGACCATTTCACGGGAGTCGCCAAACAACGCAGTCCGCCATTTTTTCCCCCTTTTC